TTAATCGCGCGGTTTGCAGACGTTAATCATTTTGCATGCAAACAATTGTTGGGATATTCTACGAAGCTTGGAGCAACGAAATGTCGTATATGGTAAAGTGTAATTGTAATGACGATTACTATAGAAAGAAGGGGAGAACTTGTAACGTAATACCTTTTACTAACCAACAACAGAAAGAGATCTATTCGTAATCGATCAAGACCTTGTACGACCGATATCGCACATGTGTGATCGCTCGCGGGCCGTTCAACGACACGTCTCACAGAGGAGGAACGGCGGCAGACGCGATAATCCGTGACGAACACAGTTTGGGCAAGACGATTCGTTATATACGGAGAACAATACGTATCGTGTCCGCGCGAGCCGCAAAACCTCGCAAAACACCGCCAAAGATCGCAAAAGATCGCGCGACGAAACGTGAAAATATTTCAAACGCCGCGTAGCCTAAGCATATGCTAATGCAAAACAATTGTTAAAATCCAATCAAATCGAATCGAGAATTATTATCTATCACTACGCGTCTCGCCTTTTGTTTACTCGATACAATAATTAGCATATCGTTTACAAATTTACGATGAAAGATGAAACGCTTCGTGCATCGAGGAGAACGGTGCAATTTACGCGTCGAAGTTGTCCAAGTTATCGAAGCAAACGATCAACTCGACGAAAAATAAGATTTACGAATGTTTTAGATAAGAGAATGTCTTTTGAAGAAGAGCACCTCTAGGTGCTGCCATGTCTTCCAATATTTGTATATTGATAATAAAGTCTATTATAAAGGTAAAAGACGCAGGAGTAAGCGTAAACGTGGACGCAGCTGCGATCTCGGATTCGAATGCTGATGCGACTGCGACTGCGTACGTACAAGTACAAGTGTATACATGTGTCGAGACAGTTCTTAGATATGTGTACGCTTGTACGAACTTGTTTAGGTTATTAAACACTTAAAATAATGTAACTGAAAATACCGTATAATATTATATAATAAAATCTAAATGCAAGAGTACGATGGCATTGGCCCTTTATTTGATGCTCTCCATTTCAGAATTAGGGAGATGGATCGATTCGAAGATCGCATAAGAATTCTTACTTAAGAGGCATCATTGGTCAACAATGGAGACTGAAGAAATCAAAGTTCATCCTTAAGAACATTTCAGTAACAGTTTGAATCACATTTCAATTGTAATTAATGAATTATGTGCAATTTTCGGATCTGTCGATTGTGTTCCATACAGTACGTAACAAGTAAGACAAGTGTGAATATTCACTTGATAATGATTTTCAATCTGTTCTCGTATCGATCTGCAATTAGAAATAGGGGTATCATTATCTTTGTACCGTAAGCTTTAATTTCACCCGTCGAACATCGAAATCGCCCTACGGAAAGCTATAGAATAGCTAATGCAAAGACAAGGGAACGTTAAATGTATGTATAAAGATGGTTGCGGACGAGAGGGGCAACAGATTTGGTTGCGGGCGACACTAGCGCCATGTAGCGGCCATACATTTTCGAAGCTTTTCCCTATACCCGCAATGTGTAAGACAAGGAAGGGGACAGTGTGCGACAAGGACAGACACAACCTTTCACGTGACACCTCCTTGAAAAAGCATCTCATCGGTTCCTGGTACGTACGCGTGAAGCATCAGGGCTGAGGAGGTAATCGAAAGTGCGCCATCTAACAGCAACAGCTACGAACTAAATGCGACAATTCAATGGAGAAGAAATCAACGTAATCAGCAGCTAATTCATTATCAACTATACTATTACGAATAAATTGTTAACCTTTGCAATGTGAGATTGTAGAATGGACCTTCCCCTACTTTCTTATGCACCACTGAAGGAACTTTGCTCCGCGTTAATTATTTATTAATTATTTACCGACATGATGTAAGAAGATAAAGTAGAATTATTACAGGTGCCCAATAAACGATCGAGTTGTTGACATAATAGGTACAAATTGAGAACATTTATGATCGTAGATATTAAGTTAGACCACCACACATATTCAGTAGCATTTTGAACCACATTCGAACAGTAATTAATAAGTTATTAGCGATTATCTAGTGAGTTCGCTGCGTCGGTAAACATGACGTTTGGTGGCGTCATCTAGCGGCCGAGAATTTCCTAAGCTAATCCCTATACCTGTAATGTGTAAGGCAAGGACAGTCATACCGTGCGACAAGGACAAACAATTACTCTCAAGAGACACCTCCTTGAAAAAGCATCTCATCGATTCCTGGTACGTACGCGCGAAGCATCAGGACTAAGGAGGTAACCGAAAGTCCGCCATCTAACGGCAACAGCTATGCACTAAAGGAGACATATCGATAGAGAAGAAAAGTACGAAATCAG